AGGTACTGGGGTGATGCTGCATGTCCTGTAACTGCTCAGCTCCTTCAAGCCAGAGAAGCCCTTGGACCCTTACTGTAGTGCTATTTTCAAGGCAAGCTGAACGAAGGTACTCAGACAAGAGATCGATTTTAGTGTAGTAACGTGAAAATCAGTGCAGTTAGTTATAATATATATGTTATAATAATAACCTATACTATGGGTTATACATGATAATATAGAACCTATGTGGCTAAAAATCTATATCAGCACTATGAGGGGAGAAAAGGGAAGCTCCTAAGGAAATGATACTGCTTGTTTTTATGTCCCTCTTCCTATTTCAGCCACACAGAATTCTAATCCAGGGTTGAAGAGAACAGAGCAGAATTGCATTGTAAACTGATAAGATCTCCAGCCCTTAAACCATCCCTAGAAAGCTTCTCCAAGGAATCCCCCACCCCACCCCCAACAAGGTGATAATTCTCCTCTGCCTGAGGCCTGCCTGGCCTCTCAACACACTTTGTCACAAGGTAGAGCCAGTCTGTCTTCCCTCACGGAATGTGGGCATGCACCTGGACCATGTAAGATTCCTGGCAGCCAGGGTCTGGCAGGCCTCATGAATTCCTAAAGAATGAATGAACACCCCTGCAGCCAGGAATGTCATCGGCCTGTTGAGGAAAGCTGGGTGGCTTACAGGGAAGTTTCTCTTAAGGCTGAATAAGAGGAGCCGCAAACAGGGGAGGGATGGGGCGTGGGGGGTGGGGAGGAGATGAAAGAAGAGAGGCTGGGATAAAAAGCTGTAATGGTGGCTAGCTGGAAATGGCTAAGTCTCAGCCTGAGGGGGAGGAGGAGGAGATGAAGGAAGAGAGGCTGAGGTAACAGCTACAATGATGGATACAGCTATCCAACTTTGTAGAACACACCACACACAGTGAGCCCTGATGTAAACTGTGGGCTGGAGAGTTAATGACATGTCAGGGTGAGCTCATGGATCAAGATGAGGGCACCACAGTGATGCTCAGAGTTAGGTGCTGAGGATATAGTACACAAAAGCTCTCTAAGAACCCAAACATAATTCAGTTTTTTATAATGTATGTCAGTACAAAAAACAACCATCATTTAATGCTTTATGGATTTTATGGACAAACATAACTCTGTCTGGAGTAAACAAGAAAAAGGCTCCCTTCATATAGATTATGCATATCCAGTGAGGTACAAGAATATCCTTCCATAGTCTATGATGCACTGGCCAGAAACTGAGCCGGGCAGCAAAGGGAAATGCACTCTGATATGAAAAGAAAAGGGGAAAAAGCCAATATTATATTTTTGGTTATGAGCCTAGCCTTTAACGGCTGAGCCATCTCTCCAGCCCAAAAGCCAATATTAAATATAGCAATATTGAAAGCAAACAGAAATACATAAAGCCTTTAAATGCTTTTTCCAAAATAAAGAATATTTAGATGAATTTACTATCTTTTTTTTCCATTCACTTTCAGCCTTGGTTTCTAATATTAAACATAGTGATAAATCTTGCCAGTACTAAAACAAATACAAGAAAATAGGTTTGAGAATATTTTCTGAAAATTAGTCAATTATTATTACTATATTAATTTGATAATTAACTATATAATTGCAGAATTAATTTTTTAAATAATTCTCTCTGAAAAGAAATTCTCCAAGCCTAAAGGGAAGAGTTCCTTTCCTAGATGGTAACTTGAGTAAGGCTTTAGAATATGTATAATATCCCACAATTTCCTTCCTCTGTGTGTGTGTGTGTGTGTGTGTGTGTGTGTGTGTGTGTGTGTGTATGTGTGCCTGATTGTGTGCATATGTAGAGGCCAAAGGTTGATGTCAGGCGTCTTCCTCCATCACTGTCCACACTAGTTTATGGGGCACCCTCTCTCTCACTGAACCTCAAGCTTGCCAATTTGGCTAGACTGGCTGACTAGCAAGCTTCAGGAATCCACCTATAAGCCATGGGCATTACAGCTATGAGATGTGAACTGTTCCAACCAGCATTCCTGTGGGGCCAGGGAATTCAAACCCAGCTGCCATATTTTCCCAGCAAGCACTCTACCAAGTGTACTACTATCCGTGAAACCCCAAATTTTTGTTCCTAATCCTAGTCGTTATTATTGGGGGCCTCTAAGGACTTGTTTCATTTTGCCCTTACAACTAACATTAAGGTAGATATCGTCCAAACATATTAATATATATTAATGTTGATGCCGATTTCTGTTAGTATTAAGTATTAACTGCTACAATGTCATATACACAGAGGATTACTTTACAAATACAGCTGAAAAAGTGCATTGTACAAAGGAGAAATTCAGTATTCTGGGAAGTATGCAACTTCTCTCCAGTGTCACAGGCTAACAAGCAGGAGGCCATAGCAGAGAAACACAGGTTCTTTAACTGTAAAGTCTCAACCATACTTTGTGTCCAGGCAGGCCTTTTCCCTTCAGTGATGCATCCCAAGTCACAAGACTAAAAAGAATGTACTGAATAGTTAGATAATCACCCTGGGACTTGACTAAGTTCTATACCTCCCAAAGGAAGTAGTCTAGATCGCATCCTTATAGCCACTTAGGACCATTCTTGGGATCACGATAGCACTAGACTCACAGCAGTGGTTTACCAGCTGAACACAATTCCCTCTTCCTCAGTAATGATTCTAAGCTGTAAATCTTGCTATTCACTTCTCATCCAGCTGAGTCCATCCACTTGACTACTCTCCTGCATTGGGCCGAGGCCAGAATCCACACTCTACTTCCTAACCTAGTAATCTAAGGCCCACATAGTAATAACAGGACAATCTCCAGCTCTGATAGTCATTGACTGTCCCACCCTATGCCTCTTAAAAGCCATATGCTATGCTTATCCTGTTCAAAACATAGTTCTAACATCACTGTGAGATGATGATTTGGTCTAGCAAAACCCGACTCAAAACACATCCAGCCACTCAATCTCTTATGGAAGGTCGCTGCCTGTGGTCTGCTCTGAGGAACAAAGGAAATCATGAATGAGTTGGAGAAGTCCACGAGTACCAGGAGGTGGAACAAAGGCATTTTGAGAGCACTAAGGATTCATTCATTTACTCTCCAGTCTCTCTGCCTTGATGAATGATCTGCACTAGGTCCAAAGCAATGGATGCATCCCTTCCTCTTGACATGTAGCATTCTGACTCACTGATGAAGAGAACCTCTTCTACACACTACACATCTTCCCTGAATTCCATCACAACTGTAATCAAAGACTTCCGCCATTTTATTGTTGCTACCTGTCTTGTCTATTTTAAATGGGAGTGACTACGGATGTAGTTCGTTGTCGTACATTAGGTACACTACGGGAATTGCGGAGCCTCTTACCTAAGGACTTAGTAAATATCAGTCCTGTCAGTGACGTCATGATCTCTATTTGTACTTGTGTTTCTGTCTGATTCTATGACAGGACTACAGGCTTCTCCTCTGCCAGTTGCAAACTCTACTTAAACATGTATACATTTGCTTTATTTGCATTCCTATAAATGAGCAGCCCTTTACAGAGTCACCTTTATTACAGCCTGTCCCATATATATGATTTCCCCTTACCAACAAGTTCAGGGACTGGGTCATTTCGTATATATTTTAATAAAATATATACATTTTTTAACTTCTTTGTGTTCTGGCTCCTAGTGAGAAAGTGAAAATATCAGAGTCAAGATGGGAGTTACTTAGCCAGGAAGTCATGACTAGTCATTACGTGATTGTCTGATAGTCACTATAGCAAAAGACTCAGACAAAACCACAAGCTTACACAGAAGCCAATGGAACCAGAAGGGCAGCTGCCTGGCAACTGTCTGTTCAACCACTCTTGTTAACTACTGCAGCTAAGGGCTATTGTTTCTCAAACCCTGTCCTTAGGACCTCCCCCTGACCTCAACTTATTTGAGTACACTCATACAGTCTCAATTAAGTATCATTCTTCTTTGAAGAATCTTTTTTTTTTTTTTCCTCCAGATTGATGCAGGACTGGGCTCAATACCCTCTGGCCCTTCATAATGCTCAGGACTGTACCTTATTGTGATTGAAAATGCATTTATTCTACAGGCAAATTGCTATATTTGTTTAATAAGCAGTTTCCCCAGGAAATTCAGTAAAAGGAAAGAGAAACCTTTTTGCACTTACTTGAGCCTGTTCCCTTTAGAGGACCTTTTAAATGCCTGGGAACATGTCATTTTCCCACATCAAGTAAGCTGGCCCACTTAGAAAAAGGAGGAACAGCAGCGTCCACCAAGACTACCAAGGAATTAGTGAAATTCCACATTAGGCTCCCCTCCCTAAAGTGTCTTGTGTAATGAGAACTCTGAGATTACAGTAGCAATGACCTCCTGCTTGCTTGGGCTCCTTGTAACGTCACTCAACTTTGTTACATAAAATTCTCAGCCTGGATTTGAACCTCTGGAGACTGTGGTGGCAGTTTCAGAGGCAGTCCTGGGGAGTGCTGGTGGGCCTTCAAGGTACCTTATTAGATGTCACATTTGTTCTCCCAACTACACACACCTGTATCTGTTGGCATGATAACAGTGTCATGTGATAAGCATGGTGCTTTACCTGAGGCTGGGAAACCACCCAAAGTTCAAACCAGTTGCTGAACACAGACCTTCCCACTGTAGACTCCATAAGTACATCTTCTGGCAACATTCCTGTTGTTTCTGAAAACTGTGTATTGAAGATGTGTGGTCACAAGACACTTGCCACGACAGCATAAAGCAATGGGTAGTTAATTACCACGTGGTAAATACAAGAGTTTGGGTCACTAAGTGAATCCACCAAACTATTCTCTGAACAACGAAAGGATGACATACACATATTACAGTAAGCTGAGTAGCTTGACTTACGATCAAAAATGTCAAAAGAGAAGGTGTATATGTGGAGAGATGAATGCAATGAGCTCTAATAATAGATGGTTTATTGGGAACCCTCATAACATTTTTCAAAAGAACTTGACAGCTTTTATTTTAATAAGACAGAGTGAAGAGGAAATGGCTTAAAAGATGTCATCAATCTTTTATTTAACTAAGTACTGCCCTTCATTTTGAAGGAAATGATACAATTTCAAACTAGAACCTCCTCCTCAAGAAGTGGTGAAAGAAAATTGATTTAACATACAACCTCCAACAAAATTAAAGTTTCTACAATTTGCTGGGAAATAAAATGCATGTGGAGTATGTATCCTGATGGGTAATTCTTCACAGGCCACAGATTTATAACCAAGAACAAAACGGCATAAGGAAAAGATGAATAAAACAGTCAAATTGATCATTATCCTGATTTTTTAAACAATTCACAAATAAAATCTAACTTTCCAAACAAATCCATTGGATGACTATGATCATGTTCAATTTTATTTTAATTTGTTTTTTTTTAAATGGCTAGACAAGCACATAATATCAAGAGTCTTCAACACAGTGGATCCCATTTTAAGAAAAAAGAAAAACAAGTAGTCCTTAAATTTTCTTAGCTTTCCATAGTATATATATGTCATATAAAATTAAAGTTTTGCTTCCAAAAAATATGTTTTCATGTGGTTGTTTTTGTCCAATGGCGCCATGAGGCTCAGAAGCGCCAAAGCTTTGAGGGGCTTTAACCACTGAAACCATTTTCATAAAAACTAAAAATCTTCTTCAAGATCTGCAATAAAGTCTTCTGCTAGACATTTTCCTGCTACAAAGTCATGTTTAATTAAACGTGGAATAAAAGCTACAAAATCCCAGTTCTCCCCATAGAAAAAGTTGTGTAGCTGAAGTTGTAGGCTCCTTGGACATACATAAGCAGTCTCAATAAAATATTTGCTCGGGTAAGAAAATAGAATTTGTCTGGTTTCTTTTAGTATGTGTTCCACAGGGTCCTGCTTATCCCCCATCCAGAGCTTCGGAAGAACATTGGAATCAATATTTCTTTCCTTCAAAGAGCGTCCATAATTCACAGTACAAAATAGTTCTATGTCTTATTCCTAAGGAGAAACAAAAATTATTAAATATTCTTTTATTTTCTAAAGTGCCAGACATAGTCATTGCCAGGACATTAAAATAAAAAAAAAAAAGTTTTTTTCCCCCCGCAACACTACTATCTTAAAAACCAAGAGATGATACAACACTCTTCTTAGAGCCCTAAGTCCATGTTACTTTACTTCAAATCAGTGGTTCTCAACCTTCCTAACGCTGAGACCCTTTCACACAATTTTTCATGTTGTAATGACCCCCAACCATCCAATTACTTCATTGCCACTTCATAACTGTAATTTTGCTATGAATCATAATGTAAATATCTGATATACAGGATATCTCGTATGTGCCCCAAAGGGTCTTGATGACACACACACAGAGGTTAAGAACCATTGCTAAAACCCTTCTACCCCCTAAGGAAACTTCCAAGGGGAGAGTTCTTCCTAAGTATTCCATATTTGCCACCATTGGTACCCAGTTGAATTGCTGACAGCACATTCCAGAAAATATCACCTGGAAAAGATTTATTTCCAAGAAGTAAGAATGCTACCGGTAGGGTGGATCTTTTGAGTTCTTCCTTTGGGGGCACTCTATGGCTAATACAAATCACCTGCTACACTGAGCGTGAAGAGACTTTCTTTTTTGGGGGGCGGGGGTGGTGATGAAAAAGGCTGGGATGGAGAGCAGGAATGGTTTGCTATTCCAGAGCTGCTGGTAACAGCTGTTCTGATTCTTCCTCTCCTGTCGTCCACACAGTGGGCATCAATTTCCATTTTCACTAACCCCAATCTGTTAGACATAGGTTTTCCTAAATGTCATCGCTTGTGTTTATCTTGCTCTGCTGTTCCAAGAACAAGACCATATAAATACATAGCTGTGTACTCATGTACACAGAAATCAGATCTACATTCCCAATTAGAAACTGATTCTCCTCCAATGTCCCAAACCAAGGCTGGTGTACAGCTCATCTTCAACATTCAAAGGAACAAGGACTTGTTTGGTAATCACCATGAAAGCAGAAAATGCATTTAATGCCTTTATAATGAAAAAGTATCATGCTGAGGTACTATGAAGATCTAGGCTTTAAAAAAAAATAGGATTTCAACTTTTTTTTTTTTTTTTTTTTTTTTTTTTTGGTTTTTCGAGACAGGGTTTCCTTGTGTAGCTTTGCGCCTTTCCTGGAACTCACTTGGTAGCCCAGGCTGGCCTCGAACTCACAGAGATCCACCTGGCTCTGCCTCCCAAGTGCTGGGATTAAAGGCGTGCGCCACCACCGCCTGGCGGATTTCAACTTTTATGTCTAAAAAAAGTGTGATTCCCCAGGCAAGAAGCCCAACAATGGCCACGGCTTCAGGGCACTCAAGTAAGATTCTGTTCCAACGGCTAAAATCTAGTTCACAAATTACTTGTCCAATTACAGTACAAGGACTGAGTGTGGAAGGCAGGAAAGGCCTTTAACCAGGCTCAACTTTGAGAGCAGTTAACAGGCAGCCCATAAGCATTCAGCAGTCAAAGGCCCGCCCACAGTTCAGGGGACAGGGCTGCCGACATCTTAAAGCCTTGTACTAAAGTGCACAGAAGTTCAGCAGCCGACCCAATTGCTACCTGTCAGTCAGCAAAACGACACATTCCACCATCACCAACCTATATTTGGGACCATAATCAAAATCTGTAGGACTCATGTCACCACTCTTAATCAAGAAAAGGCTCGGTTGGGATGTTCTCCAAGTCACAAAGAAACTGGGTCCATATAACAAGACTCTGCACCTTGAATTAAACTTCAATCATAGGTGGTAAAGTGAACCTAACCCTAACCCTACCTACCACAGCAACTGTCTGAAACCTAGGATTTACCACCAGGCAGAACAAAGCCATGGTGCGGAAAGCGGACCAAGAAGAGAGAAAAAAAAAAAAAAGCAGAAAGAACCCTGGGTCCAGCTTTATCTGTACAGGCTTACCCTCACCATTCAGCAAGGGGATAGGAGAGATTTAATTCTTGCCAGGGCATCGCTGGCTGATTCCCTAGAGGATATTTTATGGGGTGGCACAAGCCAACCCCATCTGTGACCTGCAGATGAACACGCCAAGCAGGTTTAATTAGATCAGAGACACAAAGGGCTATTGCTTCCCTTGATAACACCGCCATAGCTCTAAGAGTCCACAGCGGCAGGCCAAAAACAGAGGCAGCAGAACGGTACCTTAATTGAATCCTTTCTCTGCCTGGCCCTTGACAATGATTTACTTGTAACCGGGGTGGGGGAGGGGGAAAAGGGGGTGGAGATGGACGGGGAAGGGTTGTGAGGCAGAGACTCTGTTTAGAGTCAGCTTCCCAAGAGGAGGTACTTGGGGATAGGGAGGAGGGAGGTAGTAGAGTCTGTTTGTAGCCTGTAGCCTGAGTTTGCTAAAGTATTTGTTGCACTTAATACAGGGCTGTTTGGTTTCGGTCTGCTGCTCCCAGATCTTGTGGTTTCAGCAGACCTGTGCCCCGGGAATCCCATAAAATAAATCACTCCAGCCTCTATGATTCCAAGCACAGCTCAGTGGGGGAAGCAGATAAGTAGCTCTTCCAGCTGCCCCGCGGCGGCGCCTCCCCAACCCCCTCTGGCCTTTGTACCCTGCATCCTCCAAGCTGAAAGGGACAGAGAGGCCTAATGCAGGGCATAGGTGCTCTGAAATTCCCCAAGTCTGCTTGTATAGGAAGGGCTAAATTTGGTCCCAGATCTGTCAGAGTTGAAACTCCAAGCAAATTCACACTTTACCTCACCTCAGAAAGGAAGGTAGACTGAGGGGGCTGGAAGAAAATGTTCCCCATGGCCACCCACCAGCCAAAGTGCTCCTACCTGCTCCCTCTGTCCCCTTCCTCCTCCCCCGTCCAAAGTCGGCTGTGCATTTCACCAACTCTGCGTTTTCCAAAAGGCCCAAGAATATCAAATGGGGCCCAGATGAAGGGGGTATGGGTGGGGAGGAAGGGGCGCGGCCGTTGCAAACAGCTCCCTTTTGCAGCTCTGCGCCCAGGTTAAGTATCAGTGCACCACCGAGTCTCCATCCTCCTCCTCGGAGCCCGGTGCAGGGGGGCGCAGGGGAGACGGTGTAGTCCGAGTCGCATCGCTGTCGCCCTCATCTGGCTCAGCCGGGTGCAGGTGCGTGGCGAGCTCCTGCAGCACCGCCGCGCGTCCGATTTGGTCGTTGCGCCGCTTCTCCATGATCAAGTCCTCCAGGCTCTGGAACTCGAGAGTGTGGCTGCGCTGAGCCGAGAGCTGAATCTGCAAACGGTAGGGCTGCTTGCCGATGCGCAGCTCGCCACCGATCTTGAACTCACGTTTGCCATAGCGGCACCAGGCGGCAAAGCTCTCCGAGTTGCGCCAGCTGAGCTCCCGCTCCTTGGCGCCCACGTGTGCCAGCGCGTTGCGCACCACAGCGCTGGGACTCAGTGGCTTGTAGCGATACAGATCGTTGACCACGCGGCCGCGCCGACCTTGGCTTGCGTCGGTCAGGAAGCTGTTGCTCACCTCCAGCCGGTGCAGATGCACCACCTGGAAATTGCCCACATAGACAGCCCAGTGTGGGTACTGCGCCTGAGACACAAACTCCACGAGGTCGCCTGGACTGCACTTGTTGAGCAGGTTCTCGGGTGTGTAGGTGCTTAGCGCCGCCGACCCCGGCGCGAAGCTTTTCTGATAGATGCACTCGTCCCGATAAAACACCGAGCATTCCACCTCGTGCTGCCGCGGGTCATAGGGCTGCGGCGGGGGCAGGGGAGGCCGGTCCCCGGAGTCCGGCAACGTTCCGCCATCAGGCCCCTGGGGCGGTGGCTGCGGTTCCACATCCTCGTCGTCGTTGGAGAAAATATAAGAGACTCCTATGCGGGGCCCATCGTCTCGGTCCACGCCGGTCGGGTCGGCCGTGGGAACTTCCTTGTAACTTAGGTGGGTCAGTTTCTCCACCTGATTGCCCATCACGCTGTGGACCGCTGGTTCACAGGACTGCGAGAGGAGAAAGCGAAACCACCAGCAGAGTCATTGGCACTGGTCCCGGGGCAGGGGCTAAAGCCACCTGTTGGAAAAGGAGGCGAGGAAAAAATGTATTTGTAGGTGCCACTCAAGGGAAAGACGTTTTGTTCTGGAAAAAGAACGGGTGGGGGCCGAGCACCTGGAGCCATTTTAGGGGGAGTCTAGGAAGCGAGCTTCCTCGCGTTTCTCCACCTCTTAGGTCACGATTACTGGAGATATGGCCACTCCCGCTCTCCCCAACCCCGAGCCATCACCTGGCCCCGTCCAAAGCCCATTGCATCAGCTGCGCCTACAGTTTCCGCCTGCGCCCTACCTGCCAACCTTGGGCAGGAGCGGGGGAAGGAAACAGAAACTTTATTCCAATTCCCTTCTCTTTTCCTAACTTCCCCTCCCACTCTGGGTCCTAACTAGCCTTTAGACGCCCCACAATGACTGCACCCTCTAGGAACCAGAGAGGCTCCCGCGGCGTGGCCGTGGCAGGTGAGCCACCCCACCTGGCTCACCTGCGACAAGTCCTTGCTGCAGCTTGCCGGCTCCTCCCCCGCGCTCCTGCCCTGGGGTTCGGATTACCTGCGCCGACTCACTCGCGGAGACGTAGAAGCCCTGGGGGACCGGGAGGGGCGCCCTGCCGCACCCTGAGACTTCTAGGACGAGTTTGCAGGTGTGGGCTCCGCAGTGCCTCCTCTCCCAGCGCGGACCGGGGCGAAGCTAGGCAGCCGGGAAGGACGCATTTCTCCCCTTCCCGCCCCGCGCGGCTGTGTAGCGCCCCAAGAATTGAAGATGAGGCTGGGGGAAATGCCTGTTCACGCTCGCTGCTGTACAAGCCCTCACGCAGATCTCCCGGAAGGTGGAACACGAAGACGAAAGCAGAAGGAGGTAGCTGGGCTTCCCGGGGTCCGCAGCTCCGGCTCCGGCCGGGCGAGCAACAAGCGCCGGAGCGGGAGGGACGGGATTGTAGATCCGGCTCTGGGCTCCCGGGCGGGAGCGCAGCCCTTGGCATTTAAAGAGACAGACGCTGGCTCCGGGAGCTCAGGTCTTTCTTGCACTAGGCTTAGCCTCCCGGAGCCCCGCCCCCGCCCCGCCTACCCGAGCTGCACCGCCTTTCCATGGCCACGCCCTCTCTGTAGCGGGTTTAAATCCCGCTGGTAAATAGTCTCCCCACCGCGGGAGCCGGCTTCCTGCACCGCCCTGAGGCGGCTTGCCTTCCTGTTGGGGTTCTGAGAAGTTGGAAGTTAAATGCCACCTGGAAATAAAGAAATGCGAGAGGCCAGAATTTGGTGTTTCTTCCTCGTCGCCTTCCATTTCTTCTTAGAATGAAGTATCTAAAGAGGGAGGGACTGCTTTTTTTCTTGTACAGAACGCATTTATGACCTAAAGGATTGTGTGCTGCAACAGATCAAGGAACATCTCAGCTAAGACGTGTTTCCAGAACAAGTAATACTTTGGGACAGTAGAAAACAATTTTTTTTTTTCCAGAAAGAGGAAACAGTATAAAACAGTTATTGGCAGGCTCCCTGGGCCCGTGGTGACTGCTAGGTGTCCCTTCAAATGAAGCCAAAAATTTCATAGACTTCTTTGTTTCCAGATTTTTTTTTCTTTTTCTTTTTTATCTAGTAGAGAGAGAAAGCATGCAGAAGCTGGGTGGGAGTATAGAATTGCCTAATTGTCCTTAAATTAGAAACAAATTAGCAAAGGCCCCTGGTGAATATATTTCCTTCCCCCTGACTTAGAGGGAAGTGACAGCCCTGATGCTTATTAACCTCCACAAGAGGACACATTTCCCCCTGCTGGGTTTATTTCTGTACCCCAGACCTCAACCACTAAAGTGATCTTTTTTTTTTTTTTCAAACAATGGGTCAGAATGGACAGTGTAGAATCCATGGTGCCACTAAAAATGGACAAGCGTAGGAAGCATCGAAACCAGTTCACAGTGCAATTCAAGACCTGCACCTTGCGTTCCATCGACCACATTTTTCCAAGTAACATTATTATTTATTCATTCAGTGTATACCAACCGGTGGAAACAGGAAAATACTAACACTACTATGATCCTTTTTAGTTTGCGAGGGGAAACTAAAATCAATCTACTTATGTACCTTTAAGCCAGAACAATCAATATTGTCAGGGCTGTGATGGAAGTTAGTCCTTCAGCAAGCCTAAGATCACAGTATGAGCTAGACCAAAAAGAGAGATTGGTGTGTATCCTGAAGCTTTCATTTCAATATTTTCTGACTGACTGCAGATGTATGAGGTTAGGAGAGCAGTTCCTGGACCTTGGCATAACATGCTTCAGGGGCCACTGTTCCTACCATGTGCGCACAGAGAGACGAGTGCTCCATTTAGAACTTGTCTGTTGAATGGGGAAACCTATGGTCAGATCCTGTGGGCCAGTTTGTCCCTGGATGACACTGGATGGGTTGGCTGGGGATGGAATCTGTGGGAGGGAACAGTTCCATAGTAGACTGCTGTCAGCACCCGGGGATCAAGTCCTCATGTGTGCGAGAGCTGGACTTCCTTGCCTCTCCTTCTCTTATTATCACAGTAGAGGTTCAGTTATTCAGCTGGCCAACACTAAAGTTCAGAGGTAACAGACATCATGTCATCTTGCTTAGTAGTCATTCAGTTAATAAGTGTTTAGAAGATGGCGGAGGGGAAATTTGCCATAGAGCAAGAATTACTCCCTAAGGGATGGATATAGATCTATGATAGAGTGCTTGCCTAGAATGTGGGAAGCCCTGAGTTTGATCCCCGCCCCCCCCCTCTCTCTCTCTCCCTCTCTCTCTCTCTCTCTCTCTCTCTCACACACACACACACACACACACACACACACACACACACACACAGACACTAAGGAAAAAATATGTGATGTCAGCATTTGACAAACAGCCTCTGGTGTAGATTTTTTTTTTTTTAAGTAATGAATGTCTAGGACTCAGCCTCCTTCTGGCCACCTAGATCACTGGGTCAGAGGTTACACAAAGGCTCCAAAAAAAAGACTTTGTTCATCTCAAATAATTATTTAATAAAAAATTGAAATTATCAGATTTATTGGAAAAACCTAAAGATATAAACCCATTGGACCCATTACCCAGAATGGTAAGCAACAAAGAGCTAGAGCTGAGGAGGCTCACAGCAGTTCTCAACCTGTGGGTCACGACCCCATTGGTGGTCAGATGGCCCTTTCACAGGGGTCACATATCAGCTATCCTGAATATCAGATATTTACATTATGATTCATAACAGGAGCAAAATTACAGTTAGGAAGTAGCAGTGAAAATGGTTGGGGGTCACCACAGCATGAGGAGCTGTATTAAAGAGCCACAGCATTAAGAAGGTTGAGAACCACTGCTTCAGAGCTAAGGCAGTGCTGAGTGGCTGCCTTACAAATGTGTCCTCTGTGGCTGTTTACACTCCTGACCTGTCACCTCACCTACGGAGAGCTCCTCCCTGGCCCTAGAAATCTTTCTGCTGACCCCCCTTTTCCATATCACATACATACACTTCACACCTTATCGCTTGCTTGTGTATAATTCAGCTCATGATTATATGCTATTTCCCATTGTTTTCTAACTCCTACATTTACTATTTATCTATTTATTATTTGTGGTACCCAGGATTGAACTTAGGCCCTTGTACATGCTAGGCATGTACAATGCATTCTACTGTTTTCCCCCCTCTTTCTTCTCATTTTTCCTCTTTGACACACAGTCACACTAAGTTGTCTAGGATGGTATTGAATTCTTTATGTAGCTAGCCAAGGCAGGCCTTGAACTTTCAATCTTCCTGCCTTGGCCTCCCAAGGACTCTGTCACCAGGCTTAACTCTAATTTAAATATTTAATAGTCTTTCTTTTATTTCTAGTTTTTAAGATTTATTTTTATTATTTTTAATTTTATGTGTGTGTAAGTTTGCATGTGGGTTTGTTTGTGAGCCACCCGATTTTGGTGCTGAACTTTGGTCCTCTGCAAGAATAAGTCTTCAGGACTCAGTGACTTGATGTACAGGAATAGGAAATAGAGGAGACTCAGGGCAGAGTGGATCTCAAAGCCTGTGGATTGGTGGTGGATGACAAAGGCCTTGCCATTGGTGTTTTAGACAATTGGGTTACCAAAATTCTAAAATCAAGAGTAAGTACCATTGAGTGGCCTCTCAGAGTGAAAGCTTTAGAGAGGCTATGTTGTCTCCCAAACTGGGAAGATGGGAAATCACACATGTCTGCTTTACTTTTTTAACCTCTTGTTTTAAAACAGAGACAGAGTCTATGACATTTAACAGACATTGGAGTGTCTACTTTTATCAGCTCATAGTGTATCAGTTACAGTGGCTTTTTTGTCTCATGGTAGTTTAATGTAATTGTCCCTTAAAAGCTCACTATTAAGAGGTATGGCTTTGTTGGAGTAGGTGTGGCCTTGTTGGAGGAAGTATGTCACTAGGGGGGTGGGCTTTGAGGTCTCATATATGCTCAAGCCTCGCCCAGTGTCTCAGATCACTTCTTGTTGCCTGTGGGTTGAGATGTAAGAACTCTCAGCTCCTTCTCCAGCAACATGGCTGCCTATATGCTGCCATGTTTCCCACCATCATGATAATGGACTAAACCTCTGAACTGTAAGCCACCCCCACAAATTAAATGTTTTCCTTTATAAGAGTTGCTATGGTCATGGTGCCTCTTCACAGCAATAGACACCCTAACTAAGACAAAGAGGCGTGAGATAAATAAGAGGATGAATATAAAGTAAGTACCTGAGATCAGGGCTGTGAGGAAGGTAAAACAGCATCCTGGGATTGAATAGCTGTAGTGAAGGAGAGAGTGACAGGGAAGTGACCTACTTTACAAAAGATGGTCAAAGAGGACCCCCAGGAACTGAAATTTGGACTGAGACATGCAGGATGAGAAGGGTTGGCATTGGTATCCTCTCCAGAAGGAAGACCAAAAGCAAAAGCCAGAGGTAAGATGGAGCTGGGGTGTTTAGGGAAGAGGGAAAAACAAGGCTGAACCTGGAGTACACAGCAGACAGGTCTGGGAGATGCTGATAGAGACAGGCAGGCCCAGGGTCTCAGCTTGTCCCTCTGGCCATTCTGGACTGTAGAACAGCAAAGGAAGCAGGTCTTGTGGATGACCCAGACATGAGAATGAGACCAAACCTCAGGAGCCAGAAATGGAGTCAGCAAAGTCGTCTCATTAGTGGCTGTTGTATTTGCATTTTGGTTTTCTGCAGTACTTTGTAATTTAATCATTTAACACAGTAACCCAAATTCCATATTCTCCACACCTCCTCTAAGAAGAAATTAAATAAAAACAAGTTGTATTGAATGCCAGTGACTCACTCTCAGAGTTCCTGTCCAAGCCACTGGATGAACTGAGAACTGACCTTTCTACCCCACGAGGCCCAGAGTCTGACGCTGCAAGAAGGGAGAGCTATCGGGTTGAAAAGCGTGACTCCAAGAATTTACAGAACAGGGAATCAGTGAACTGCTGGTTAGGCAATCTAGACTTCTGCCTGTCTAGACTTCAGGCTGGGCCTCAAGCTCACAGATATAATAGTGTTTTCTGAAAACCAGCTTCCTCTATACCACCCTACATCTCAACCCCCAATCAGATCTCTACCCATCCTCCCTGAGAGATTCTGGACATCTTGGAAAGCAAATAGTGCCAGGGTGGAGCCGATAACTTTTCATTCCTTGTGTTTGGCAAGGGTGTGATGTTAGAGTTGTCTCTTCTCCATGCTGGGCCCAGTTTCCCAGCCTTTCTGGTATGGCTGGTGATCTCCGTCTGACTGCAGATGTTCACGGGAAAGCTATGTGCATAAGTACCCTGTAAATCCTAAAGGTCATGTGCATGCTGGCCATGGTTCACAACCCATGTAAAAGCCAGACGATGATTTTGTGTAAGGAGTAGAAGGATAACCAACTGCTGTGGCCTTCACTGTACTAAATCTCCATGCAGTCCTGATGCTTATGTCTCCCCCTGTAGGCATGCTAAGTCCAAAAGAAGTATGAGTTCTACTCATTATTAGGAAGAGGTCTGAAGAGGTCAGATTCAGGTATGAACCTGGCTGCCTCCAAGGCTGGTTTTTACACTGAATCAAGCAGGCTGGGGTAGGGCTGGAGTGCTTCCATCCTGTGTGTCTTTGCTTGGCCTGAAACCAGCAGATCTGAGTGACCAGCTTCTCTTGGTTTGCCAGGGACTTGCATGGTTTTAGTCCTGAACATTTCTTGCCTAAAGCAAATGGTGACAGTGGTCATCTCGAGTGCCTCGCTGTTTTGGTCAGTGTCTTCTATGAACCAAGAGCTATCATGAGAGCTGAGTTGGGCATGTTGCAGGGATAGGAAAGAGTAGGCACAGAAAGCAGGAGAATCCGGTATTCAGAGACTTCACTTTTAATAGGCCTTCTGTGAGGCAGAGACAGAGTCATCCAACCAAAGGGTCCATGCTTTGAACACTCACTCTGGGATTTTTTTGCTTTTAAGTCTCATTCTCTGGCATAGGTAACAGCTGCTGCACCTACCTCACCTTTGAGCACTACTGACCAGCAACTATGTTCCTTTATCTTCCAAATCGGCCAGACTTTGGATATAAAATCAGCATAGGAGCATTAAGCATCCACACAACCCCCAGAGTAAGGAGAGAAGCACCAGAGACTGTCTAATCAAGAGTTTCTGTTTCATTGTTCTGCAGATCACCAGACTAGACTCTTTCCAGCAGGCTGGCCAAAGGCCACTCTGCATATGGACAGGGATAAGGATGAGGACCCTTGAGAAGGGGTTGGGAGCGGCACCTGAGGGCTGGAACCTCAAGCCACCCCACCTGCTCTCCAGGTATTTCTCTTCCTAGCAGGCTGTTTCTAAAAGAGAAGAGATGAAGCTGGCCCCTCCAGCAGACCCACTGCTTCAGGGGGCCCTGTGATCATATTGTCGATGTTGCTGAAAGTGTGATTTGTGCTCAGGAGTCTGAGCTTGTAGCTGGACTCCTGCAGGAGCCTCATGAAAGATGCATTTCACCAGGCAGTTCCAGGGGAGAGACTGGGTTAAATTACAGCTCTCCGAATCCAAATATTGGCATATCTGCAAATCCAAATGTGAGGATTAGAAAAAAAAAATCTAAATTCCAAGAATGTTATTCTGCACTTCTTGTGTACAAAAGGGAGGATGGGCTATTCAAAAAGGAGGGACTGTCAATAGTCAGGGGCTTCAGAGAGCACACCCCACCTCCCGTTCCCTGTGCATTCTTCATGCTTTCAAGGAGACAGGCTGTGACACAAAGTAGAAGATAGCATTTGTTCAGTGTGACACTCTTCAGGGTAGGGTGCCCAGCATGTGGGACACAGGAGGGCTCAGCAATCTACAGAACCAATCCCTGTCTACCCTTCTCAGTGTACTTTTCCAGACCTAGGATGAAGGCATCCCATGGATCTGTAACTGTCCTACCATCATTCACAACCCAGCAGGGCCAGAGATCCTGCACCACTGTGAGGGAAGCCAAGTTATTTCTGTGCTCAAAATCCTTATGTGACTCCGCATCTGCTTTGGAGAGGGGTGGGGAGTTCCTACCATAGTGTCCAAGGTTCTTCTACTAGCTTTCTTCCCATTACTTTAAGACAAGATGGCCCTTCATTACTCCCTTCCCCATGGTGGTGGGCACACTTGTCTCTCAGAACCTAAACTTTGCCCATGCCTTCTGCCTGGAGTACTTGCCCTTGCAAATCTTATCATGCTCTTTTAAGTCTTCATTAGGATGCCAGCTTCCTGATACTCATGCCTGATGAGAATATTTAAAAACCCCAATGTCTTCCCATCCATGCTATTATGCCTTGCAGTGACTTAGAGGTACCCCCAAGGACCCCTGTGTCTGTGGCTTGGTCATTACCATGAGTATTGAAGTGGTGGTGTCTTGGAAAAGGGAGCTCTCGGAGGTGGTTAGATCATCGGTGGCACTTCCAGTGGAAGGAATTATGATGATTCTGGATTCCTGATTCATTCCCAAGAGTGCAAGCTGTTAGGAAAGAGCAGGCCTGAACTCCAAATCTCTGTTTGGCTTCCTGTCTCATCATGTGATCTCTCTCCTGTGCATATCACAGCTATTGTGATGTCATCTACCACGAGGCACAGGCCACGCAGAAGCGGGTACCATGGTCTACCTCCTCTCAAACTGAGTAAACAAACTTTTCTTTTCGTTAAGTACCCAGCCTCGGGTATTTTTATACCCAGTTGAAATGGAGAATCATGCTCCCTTTCTGCTCTGTTGCGTATTGCTTAGCTTACTTACTTGTTTCCTTTTACTAGCTTGTATAAGTTATTAACTTTTTTTGGTTGTCATCTTTCACATATTATAAGCTCTGAAAGTTATTGGCCCTTGTTTTGTTTACGGGGGTACCTCCAAAATCCTGGGAAAGTTCTTGGTATATGTTAGGCTCAGTAAACTATAGTTGAATGAATAACTGAAAGTACTTTTATGGGCCATCTCTATTCATCTCCACAGCAGTCTTCACGGTATGAATTCTTTTCAATTTACAAAAGGAATGTCAATTCTAAAATTTAATAAGTGCCTATATTGTGACCAGCACAATAGTCTAGACATGTGGACTTCAGATGGGTCTTTGAATTGAATTCAGGTGCATTGAGAAATATAACCTTGTGCTACTTGGCATGGTATCCATCAGTCAGGTATGGCTACCGGGTATCTGACTCGAAATGTGTCCTAGGTGCATGGTGCTCAGTGAATTCTAGGATATAGTAGAACAAACCAAACAAAACACAAAACTTTACTTTGTATATTTATTGCATGTTGAAATGGTGATAATTAGGTTTTAGGTAGCACGGAATATATTACCAAAATCAATATCATCTGCCTCTTTTCCCTTTGAAAATGTGGCTGCTATAAAAATGGAGATTGCATCTGTGGCCGTTGTGTGCGGGACTGCATTCCTCCCACTTTTTTCACTACTCACCTGCGTCTGTCTTCAAGGGCGTTGCTCCTCAGACTCCAGAGAAGGATGCTGACCTTGTCCTTCCTAGCAGAACAGTGACACAGAGAATGCATCAGGTCCCAAAGGTACCAAAATACCTGCTGTAGTCAGTTCTGGTCTTTATAACAGCATTGGATAAGAAAAAGCACGTGTGCGCGTGCGTGAGTGCGTGCATGTGCGTGTGTGTGTGTGTGTGTGTGTGCGCGCGCGTGCATGTGTGTGTGTGTGCGCGTGTGAGTGCGTGCGTGTGTGTGTGTGTGTGTGTGTGCGTGTGTGTGTGCGCGCGCGCGCGCGCGCGTGTGTGTGTGTGTGCGTGCGTGCGTGCGTGCGTGCGCGTGTGTGTGTGTGTGTGTGTGTGTGTGTGTGTTTGGTGGGTGGGGTACAGACACAGAAAGTCACTTTCACAGTTCTGTCTTGGAAATCTGAGATGGGATGTGTGCTGGTTAGTTTGGCTTTGCTGTTGTTTGTTTTTGTCTACTTGGCACAAGCTATGGTCGTCTGGGAAAAGGAGACCTCAACTGAGAAAATGCCTCCATTTGGTTGGCCTGTGGGCAAATCCACTGGGCATTTTCTTGAGAAATAATTTGATGTTGGTGATGCCACCCCTCAGCAGGTAGTCCTGGGTTGTATAAGAGAGCAAACGGAGCAAGCCATGATGCTCAAGCCACTCCTCTATGGCTGTGGTTCTCAACCTGTGGGTTGCAGCAACCCCTTTGGGGGTCAAAAATATCCCACATAGAAGATATCTACATTTATGATTCACAACAGTAATAAAATTATAGTTATGAAGTGGCAATGAAATAATTTTAAGGTTGGGGGTCACCACAACATAAAGAACTACATTAAACTGTCGCAGCATTAGGAAGGTTGAGAACCACTGCTCTATGGCCTCTGCTTTGGTTCCTGCCTCCGGGTTCCTGCCTTGAGTTGCTGCACTGATTTCTCTTTATGTTAGACTGTGATCAGAATATATAAACCAAGTAAACTCTTACCCCCCAAAGTTGCTTTTGGCCATGGTGTTTTACCACAGCAATAGAAAACCAAGTAGGACAGGGAGCCAGCATGGCAGGGCTCAGGTTAGGGCTGTCTTCTGGGTTGCAGACTGCCGTCTTCTGGTTGTACTTCTTAAGGCAAATAAATGGCAAGAGAACTGTCCGGAGTCTTGTACAATGGCACTAATTTCATATGTGAAGATGCCATCTGTTATTGGTGGTTTTGCCCTTTTTTGGGGGGGGGGGGCGCCACCCAGCTCCCAAATAAATCACACACAGAAGCTTATACTTAATTATGAATACCTGGCCTTAGCTTGGCTTGTTTCTTGCCAGCTTTCCTTAACTTTAAATTATCCCATCTACCTTTTGCCTCTGGGCTTTTCTCATTCTCTTACTTCTGTAAATCTTACTCTGACTCCGTGGCTTGCTGTGTAGCTGGGCCACTAGAGTCCTCCTCCTTCTCTGGCTACTTCTTCTTTTCCTTCTATATGTTCTCTCTGCCTGCCAGCCCTGCCTGTCCTTTCTCATGCCTTGCTATTGGTCATTCAGTTCTTTATTAGACCATCAGGTGTTTTAGACAGGCACAGTAAACACAGCTTCACAGAGTTAAACAAATGCAACATAAACAAAAGTAACACACCGTAAAATAATATTCTACAACAGCTATCCTCGTAGCCCAAGCACCCCCCAAAGTCACCACCTTCAGTACCATCACATTCTGTAGAATAATACCTAAATCATATACTTCCTACTACAGCAGAGAGCACCCTGGAGAACCTGGAGAAGTGGTTAAGTGAGGAGGAATTTCCACTGGGATAAGTTCCCTAAAGCTGCCTATCACTGTCAGGGCATTCAGCATTAGCATGATTGAGCATGCTTAACTCCCTGGTGACTAAATGACCCTCTGAGTGGCATTTGGCTTCTATATGGAAACACTGATGGAGACAGCAAATTACCTGATAATTTATTCCCTTTCTTCTTTCTTTCCGTTTCTCCCTTCCTCTCTGTTTCCTCCCTCCCTTCTATCTTTCCTCTCTGCCTCCCTTCCCTCCTTCTGTCCTTGTCCATCAGCAAGCTGCCAGTCTGGTTTATACCAGACTGTGAGTTGAGTTACTGCGAACCACTTTAATGGCCTGACAGAGAATGATTCTGAGTTTGTGAGCTTGAGGCTCATACTTCAAAGGTGGCGATAAGTAACAACAGCTAGTGACTTTTAGTGCTACTGTACCTGGTACCCTAAGAGCTCCATATGTATCCTGCGTCTTTGCATGGGGAGCAGTTACTGCCATGTCTTCATTTTACAAATGAGAAAATGGGAAACAATATAAGTAGCTTGCCCATGGGCACACAACTGGTGTACACATTTTGCACAGCCCAAATTAGACACCAGGCAGTGCCATGGTGTGGACTTACCTCTGAGTCAGAGCCTCACCTTAGCCCAGACAGTAGCTACAACTAGTATAGCTGAGGTGCTCTGTGTTCATACTTCATGTCCTTCTTTGATCCTTAGGTGAGTCATCTTCTCAGCCCCTGTCAACGGCCATGTCTAATCTTCCTGTCCTTCTAACCTCATTTCCTCCTGGTTTCCTGTTTCCCTACTCTGCCCAGTTGCCCCAAGCCTGGCTTTTCTGTTCACAGTAAGATCATGATTATCTCTGGCCTTGACAAGACTCTTTTCAGGACCTGGGATGCCCTGAATCCTACACATTCCTAAACTGGATGCTTTGCATTCTTTCTGCCTCAGCTCAAACCCTCCAGGCACTGGGCACACCAACATCTTATCAACCTCACTCTTCCTCAGCCCCTTGTCTCTTACATAACACACAGTGGGAGGGGTTTGACGTTCTTATGCCTCCTTGTTACTCTCCCCTCTAGGAAACCAGTCTTGGGCTAGGCATATTGCTTACTATTGGAGTGCTTGCCCATCTAGAAGCCTACTTACTCTATGAGATGCCACATTTGCACTCCCATCTTCCAGTGTAGTGACCTCCACATTTTAAAGACTTAATAAATACATGCAGTGTAAATGAATCTTTCTTTGGATGAGCCTGATAGTCTACTCTGGGTCAGGGGGCAGGGTAGAGAATATGATTATCTTCAGACAATCATACTGACTTTTGCATATTGATCACTTTTGCCAAACTGCAGTGTTCAGTGGAACCAGGACAAAGTTATCAATAAAATGTAATTCAAGATGGAAAATAGAGAATGAAGGAAAAGGGAGAGAGGAAAGGGGATGGAAAGCAGGGAAAAAATGGATGGAAGAAAGAGGGAGAAGAAGGGAGGGATGGAAGGAAAGAAGAAGAGGAGAATGACGATGACTTATGAAGAATAAACATCAAAAAAGGATTTTGCTGAAGTTGGTTCTGTTGGGCAGTGGTCGATAGTTTTTTGAGTAATTTGAATGAGGGATGGGGTAGATCTCTTACTGCAAATAGCCAGGACTTGTCTTTGGTCTAAGGTGAGGGTCTGTGTTCTACAGAGCAGCCTGATAGAATGTGGCAGCTGAGTTCTAGGAGTTCCTAGCACCCATGTGCTATAATGCTTTGATCAGGTTACCAAATTAATATGAAGGAGGACTGAAATCCAGCCCTGGCTATAAGGCTCTCATTTGATCACGCCAAGTGGCACTTGGTGATCAGTAGGAATTTTGAAGTAATAGATTAGTGAGTGTATAGAACCAAGCTATGGAAATCAGTTGAGGATGCCAGACAAAGACTTTTTAGAGATAAAATCAAAAGCGTAAATATGAAAGCTGTATTTACGTAGCTTTTGCAAATCAGAGTAGCCTAAACTGCTCTACGCATAGCTGCTAAACTGCAAAAAAGAAGAAAGAAGCCTTGTTGCAGGATTTCACTTTGTGTTTGACACTGTGTCGTCTGGTTTCATTTCCCTGCATCTCGACAGGACAGGCATGTCATTATGTAATTCCCACATGTGCTGGTTAGTTTTAATTATCCACTTGACACACCAGGGAAAAGAGTGTCAATGCAGAATTATCTAGATCAGGTTGACCTGTGGCATGTCTGAGGGCT